AAGATGTGTTGCGGTAAACATTGCAGAGAGGGTGAGGGAATCGAAGCCGAGATGGTGTAGAACATGTTTCAAGAAATGAAGAAGAGTTCATCACATATCATGGAATGAAGAGATCAGAAGAAGACGTGAGGTGGTAGACATCGCAGAGAAGGTGAGGGTAGCGAGGTTGTGATGGTATGGACACGTAATAAGAAGAGATGAAGGAGAGCTGGTCAGAGACATTATGGAATGAAGAGATCAGAAGAAGATGTGGAGTGGTAGACATTGCAGAGAAGATGAGGGAAGCAAGGTTTAGGTGGTATGGACACGTAATAAGAAGAGATGACGGAAAGCTGGTCAGAGATATTATGCAATGAAGAGATCAGAAGATGTGAGGTAGTAGACATTGCAGGGAAGGTGCAGGCAGCAAGGTTATGATGGTATGGACACGTAATAAGAAGAGATGAAGGAGAGCTGGTCAGAGACATTATGGAATGAAGAGATCAGAAGAAGATGTGGAGTGGTAGACATTGCAGAGAAGATGAGGGAAGCAAGGTTTAGGTGGTATGGACACGTAATAAGAAGAGATGACGGAAAGCTGGTCAGAGATATTATGCAATGAAGAGATCAGAAGATGTGAGGTAGTAGACATTGCAGGGAAGGTGCAGGCAGCAAGGTTATGATGGTATGGACACGTAATAAGAAGAGATGAAGGAGAGCTGGTCAGAGACATTATGGAATGAAGAGATCAGAAGAAGATGTGGAGTGGTAGACATTGCAGAGAAGATGAGGGAAGCAAGGTTTAGGTGGTATGGACACGTAATAAGAAGAGATGACGGAAAGCTGGTCAGAGATATTATGCAATGAAGAGATCAGAAGATGTGAGGTAGTAGACATTGCAGGGAAGGTGCAGGCAGCAAGGTTATGATGGTATGGACACGTAATAAGAAGAGATGAAGGAGAGCTGGTCAGAGACATTATGGAATGAAGAGATCAGAAGAAGATGTGGAGTGGTAGACATTGCAGAGAAGATGAGGGAAGCAAGGTTGTGATGGTATGGACACGTAATAAGAAGAGATGAAGGAGAGCTGGTCAGAGACATTATGGAATGAAGAGATCAGAAGAAGATGTGTTGTGGTAGACATTGCAGGGAAGGTGCAGGCAGCAAGGTTGAGATGGTATGGACATGTAAATAATAAGAGATAAAGGTGAGCTGGTCAGAGATATTATTGAATGAAGAGATCAGAAGAAGATGTGTGTGGTAGACATTGCAGAGAAGGTGAGGGAAACAAGATTTAAGATGATATGCACACGTAATAAGAAGAGACGAAGGAGAGCAGGCCAGACACATTTTGTAAGTGAGGATCTAAATATCAAGGAAAGGAATAAAAGAAAAGGTCAGAAACGACTTTAACTGACCTCTGCAGTTTCTTCCACAGACATCCCACAACAATGCCAAGAAAAACAATGACAACAAGAACGGTGCAAAACAAAGCAATAAAAATTTTGTTTGAGATGTTTGAGCCGGAACTTTCTTCATCTGAGCTGGCAGGGATTTTCGTTTCTAAAACATTAAATAAAATAGTTCAACTTTTCAAGGCAATTCTATTGCAGAAATAAAATTGTCTTTTGATGACTTTAGGAAAGGGAAAAGTAAAAGTTGTGTGAATAATTCATGAAAAAAAGGAAACCATGACTCGTAAAGGAGCTTGTATTATATCTGAAAAAAAGTTGTTATTGGATTTGAGCAAATTTTTACCTATGTCAAAAACTATGATGAAATTTTTAGTAATGTATTGTAATGTAAATCATACTTATTGTACTTGCTTTAGCCCAGACTCCTTGCCAAGATGGCGGAAATTTAAGGAACTATTGGACATCAGTTCCCCGGTCCCTTTCTATTGTGCGGTTAAAACGAAGTTGGCTTCAATATAGCTCCAGTTATAAATGGAGCTGACTGGTTTAGCCGTGCACGTAAGATATATGGTCGACCGCGGGGGAAACGTGCACGCGTAGAAATGAAGACGTTGATGCAATGAAATAAAAATAAAGATGCAAATTATAAAATATACTTGGTGTTACTGTTGTCACTGTAACAGGCGAATATTCATTTGCTGTTGTCTGTGGGGATTTAGGTTGGCTGATGGTTACTGTCGGCTCAGATGGTTCAGAGACAGCGTCTAGATAAAATAAATATATTATTTTTAATAATCCGAGTTCAATCAGCTTTTTCATTGCCATTATCTACCATAATTGATCTCCATCAACCATGATCTACGAATAATTACCAATGAGTGACGTTCTTTGTTTGTATATATAGAGTACGATCAGGGGGGTGGTGGTGTGCAGGGTTGTTTGCCATTTACATGTAAAACCCATCCGGTTTGAAATTGTGCTAATGGTAAGCAAAATTTCGGATAGAAAATCCCATTCGGATTATTCGCTTTCCATTTAATAATTTCAAATGTTAAATCGCGAAGAGCCTGGAAAACTGGGGAAAAAATTTAAAAAAATGTAAATGGTACAACATTTACCGGTTGAAACTTTCCAATCGGTAAGAGAGGACAACCTTTTCAAACAAACCGTTTATTCCGGAAAAGTTCCGGTTGGGCCGTCGAAATATGCTTGTTCCATTTACTTTCCGTATGGAATCACCGGAATTTCCATGTAAATGGTGAACAACCCAGGAAGGCCGAAACATTTTTGTTTTGGCTTAGATCGTTCTTAGTTTACTTGTTCACAGAACCATTTGGAGACAACCAAGGTTTCCATGCCTTACATAGTTCACACGTAATAATCTGCACACGCAAAAACGCACAAGTTGTTATATAATAATTTCAAATCCGATTATGAGGACTGGACTAGATTTCATGTCCGCGCCATTTGATCAAGTCCGACGCGAAGCCAAGGACTTGAAATCTAGTCCAGTCCAAATGGACCTTTCACCTTTTGACTAAAATTTAGATTTCAACACGTCTAGACAAAAATTTTATCACAGCTTGAAAGAGCATCGCAAAATTAGTAATATTCCGACGTTTCGTTGCGAAATGTTGTGAAATGCGGATAATATAGCCTTGCGAAGTTTGCAATTTTCAGTCATTTTAGATTACAAACGGGAAATACATACCCTTTTTCCGAAGGAGGTATGTATTTCTCGCGCGTAATACAAAATGACTGAAAATGGCAAACTTCGCAAGGCTATATTATCCGCATTTTACAACATTTCGCAACCAAACATTGGAATATTACTAATTTTGTGATGCTCTTTCAAGCTGTGATAAAATTTTTGTCTAGACTTGTTGAAATCTAAATTTTAGTCAAAAGGTGAAAGGTCCATTGTTGTCTCTGTGTGGGGGAAACGAAAAGTCAAAATCTGCTGAGTGGCTGATGGCCTATGCTTTCAATACTTCATGTTCGGAAAACATAATGGTTTTATCAGTAAGACGAGGGTTTCTGCATGCATGTATTTTCTAGTTTAGAAAATGAATGGGGCTTCGGCGACGCAGTCGTCAGAACAAACGCCTTTCACCTCTGGGACCGTGCGTTCGATTCTCGCTACGGACTCATGTGAAAATTGAAAAGAGTCCGTCAACGCGCTCTGCTGAAAGTCGTGGGTTTTCTCCGTGGGTCCTCTGGTTTCCTCCCATGCACAGGGAATGTTGACTGGGTGGGTTAGGATAAACACAGTTACACGTAGGAAAGTAATATCTCAATTGTTGTAAAGATACATGTAAATAGTCTATAGGCTAAGTATAAGTAACATAAGTAATCGTAATACTTGATGTAATCGGTCACTGAAAAACCCCAATGGGGAGTGAGCTGAATAATAATGTAAATGTAATGTAGTAATTTATCGTACAATTCGTTTTGCCTTTACCTAATTTAGGAATACAGTAGAACTTAGAGCCACACGGTCACTATATTACGGTCATAGTTGTTGAAGGGTTTTGTAGATGGAAATTTCTAGTGGAGTTTTTATACATTTATTAGATCTAACCAGGATTAGTTACGAAAAATGCAACTGTCGCCCTCTGGCAGGAATCGAACCTGCGGCCCTGCGATTCCGATGCAGCGTTCTAACCAACTGAGCTACACAGAGACAGTTGTCGAGCTCTAACCAACTGAGCTACAGAGAGACAGTTGTCGAGTTCTAACCAACTGAGCTACAGAGAGACAGTTGTCGAGCTCTAACCAACTGAGCTGCAGAGAGACAGTTGTCGAGCTCTAACCAACTGAGCTACAGAGAGACAGTTGTCGAGCGCTAACCAACTGAGCTACACAGAGACAGTTGTCGAGCTCTAATCACAAGTTCATCTATAAATACTAAAGTAATGTCAGTGTACGGTGTATGGGATTGGGTACTATAAATGTCGGGATTTTTGGCATCTCACTCGAATACAATTAATTGACCATTTGCGTAATAGACTAAATTTTGATCTCAACAAAAATTTCATCACAGCTTGAAAGAGCATCACAAAGTTAGTAATATTCCAAAGTTTCGTTGCGAAATGTTGTAAAATGCGGAAAACATAGCCTTGCGAAGTTTGCAATTTTCAGTCATTTTAGATTACAAATGGGAAATTGACAACCCTTTGAGGCTGTCAATTTCCCGTTTGTAATCTAAAATGACTGAAAATTGCAAACTTCGCAAGGCTATATTTTCCACATTTTACAACATTTCGCAACGAAACGTTGGAATATTACTAATTTTGTGATGCCCTTTCAAGCTGTGATGAAATTTTTGTCTAGACTTGTTTAGATCAAAATTTAGTCTATTACGCAAATGGTCAATTGTTGAAGGGATTTACAGTATAGATGGAAATTTCGAATGGAATTTTATGCCCAAACTCCTGATATTTACCCATACATCGTACATTGGCATCACTTTTGTATTTATAAATGAACTTGTAGTTAGAGCTCGACAACTGTCTCTCTGCATAGCTCAGTTAATTTATTAGGGTGCTGCACTGGAATCGTAGGGCCGACAATTAGTAACCTATATATGAGATGCCCCAAATCCTAATATTACGGTCATACCCTGTTAAGACGGTCACCCTGGTTTTTAACACAGCCAAACATTTATGGCATGTTAGCAAAATTAACAGGATTCCACAGTAGTAAAATTCCAATTGTTTTTCTGTACATCTTACAGACTTCCGATAATTCTGGTTGGAAATAAAAATGACTTGCATATGGAAAGGTATTCAAATATGTTATACAGTATTATGTACAGTTATTGTATTTTTCTATTATATTGAATATTTTTATTAGCATATACTCGGGAGGTGCATGGATAATGCTTTTCGCGCAATTTGATTGGTTGCTCAGCTCCGAATATCTTTGCACTATTAACTATAAGTTTACACTATGGTTTACACGGTGGATAGGCAAAATTTAACCGGTGGATAGCCCTAAACGGGCTTGATACAACGCGATTTCTCGAGCGTTTAAATTTTATCCGGCGGATAGCGAGTTAAACGATGATTAGCGAGTTAAACGCCTTTGATACAACCGGCCCCAGGGGACAAAAACAAAATGTCTTCCCGTTTCGTTGCGGTTACAGACAAGCAAATGTTTGTACTAAAAGAAAAGCCACAAAGTTTCGTTTCACAATGTGCAGAGGTGTTCTTTAAAGCAATTTTTCATGAATAAAATAACCGAAAGCTTTAAATAGATAACTGTTTTGTTTACAAGTACAAGTACCCGAGACCGAGGCGAAGTCGCGGGAAACATCGACGGCCGAGTGTTTTATTATAGTATCAATAGTCAAAGAAACAACAATTTTATTAAAGAACAAATACATGAAATATTTTATTGTTAAAACGTTAAATTAAACACTGCAGGTACTTAAAGTGAAAGTTTAAATTGTTATATTGTAATTGTTATATTGTTTTAAATTGTTAGGCATGTCCACAGGTCGCATCTTCACGTGATGGTGCACGTGATTTTTTTTCGTTATTCGCCGGTCGATAACGTATTATCTCCTTCTCGCGCTGTTGCGAGGGAGAGAGCCTAACTTTTTTCACTCTCACGTGATAAAACACTAGAAAAAGGGGACTTTGACTATTGGTATATATTAATACAAATTGTTTTAAAAACATTTTCATTGTTTTTGGTCGTTTTTGTTTTGTCATGCATGGTATCTGCTAAAACAATTATTCACCTCATTGTCAGTGAATAGTGTAAGGATATTCACCTCAACGCTGCGCGTCTCGGTGAATATCCTTGCACTATTCACCTCCACATAGGTGAATAATTGTTAATTATTACATAGCAAGTGTCAAAGTTCAAATTTCCTGTTTGCCGATTGGACAAAACCGTATCACGTGCCGATCCACAAAACGTCATGTCCACGTTATGGTTTGGCGAGGGGGCAACAGGTCAGTTATTGACCGGTCAATAATAAAACTGGAAGTGAGGGGCTAGCTGCTCACGTCAACCAGCAAGTTCAAAGCAAAGTTCTTTCAAGAGTTTCTGCATGTCTGCTGATCGATTTAATTACAGTTTTGGAATGCCAGGTGAATTATTGAGAGTCGGGCAACAACGGCAGCCTCGGGGCCACAAAACACGCTGTTTCCCTCGGTCTCAGTAAATAAGTGATAATTGTCATATACAAGAGAAGACGTTTATCATATATAATAGTGAATGTAATAGTGATAGAAATACCGTACTGAAACGTTTGTTGAGATGAAGGCCCTAGCACAGTTTTACGTTGAGGGTGTATAATACAACATTTCGAAGTCCAATAAACTGGTATGTACTGTAAAGGGAAACTCCGGCAACGCGAAAATTGAGTTGATTTATTGGCATTCTTCACTTTGGTTCCGGAAAACGATTCATTAAAGGCATAAATTACTGTTGAGTTTGGGAAACTTCGTGATAGCCAAACAGTATGTTTGTGAGTACATATAAAAAACCTATATTCTGGCAATATTTGTTAGGGTCATATCAACAGAGGATGGAAAGCAATTGGCTAATAGCTGGAAAGCAATTTTTCTGGAAACATCTGCCAAAGAACATAAGGTACTGTATACTGTACCAAGTCGATATTGTTTGTGATTTTCACTAACTTGTATATTTAGCAAGATCGCATTTTTTCAATACAGTAGCATGGTGAAAGCTGACCCGAATATTATATAGTTTTTGTTAAAATAATACTGTCTGAAAATAATTTAGGTTGATTTATATCGAAAATTCACAATGTTATCGTAAAGTGAGTTTTTATGTACTGTATTATAGGAAATTATTATAGTGCACATTATTTTCGGTAAGCATTAATTTAATAAATAGTTTTATAGCGCATGCATGAAAGTTACAATGATTTAAAACACAATATATAGTTTCCTAAATGTTTTTACTGAATTCGACATTATTATTAATCTTATTAGAGTGTGGAACAAGTGTTTTACAGTCTTCTTGCTGAAATCGAGAAACAGCAGAATGGCCCGCCTGTAAAGAAAGATGACTGTGCAATTCTGTAAAACGTAGTGAAATTACACTCAATCTATACTTATATATACCCATTAAAAGGAATTTTTAATAGTCAATTAATCATAACATACGTACATACATTCACTTTGGAATCAACGTTTTCAAGCTGTTCAAAATCCATCCCATCAACTACTGTATTGCCCAGTCGAGTGAATAGTGTATATGCTATATACTGTATACTGTATACTGTACACGTGTACGTTTGACGATGATCGTTTCCTGATGTTTAGTGGATCAGATCCTTGTTAATAAACAGGGTTTTGTACTTGATGATTTTGCATGTTCATACATATCTGACAAAGCTGTTCGAAATTCATTAAAGTTGTGCCCAATTTGTTACATTTTACTGATTTCTAACGTATTTTCTTCAGAATTCAGTCCTTGAATTTGCTGATCATACATTGAATGTCCTTAAAAAGTCCTTGAATTTGACTCTTCCTGACATGTACGAACCCTGAATATTTAAATTAGCATATACATTAAACATTTTCTACATGGTGCTGTATATATTAAACATACAGTATACTGCTACAATCCTGGACAAAACCATCTGCGACACTCTGTTAAAACATTCCCTTTGTGGCTTTTTTTTACCACTAAGACCGGAATAATTTACTCGTTTGCCCCCCTCCACCCCCCAAAACAATGTTGGACATTTTATCCGTATTCTACGAATGCAATCAACATTGATTGGTGGGAGTAAGGGGTAGGTTTTCTAAATTCGCGATAATATTTCGAAATTTTGTCAAATAATTGAAAGTGTCGCAGATGTTTTGTCCAGGATTGTAGGCAGCATGCTAAATGATAAGTTGCCTTGCAGTATTAAGAAAGCTTCGGATTGATAGGGATACAACTACCTGAAAAATACATAGAGAACTTCGACGTTTCGAGCGAATTAAGGCCCTTCGTCCGCAAATTAATAGTATAGAAGGCCCTTCGTCGGGAAATTAGTAATTAATAGTATAGAAGGCCCTTCATCGGAAAATAACTTCCCGACGAGGGGTTTTCGCTCGAAACGTCGAAGTTCTCTTTGTAATTTCCAGGTAGTTGTATCCCTGTCAATCCGAAGTTTTCTTAAATGATAAGTCAAATATAAATGTTGCTTTCTCAATTTTCCCCTGATATCTTTCTCACTTTTTGTCACACTACAGGGTGTATCAAAAAAAGGAGACCTTTAGAATTCAAGCATATTGTTAAAATTTAAATGCTTTTTCAATTCCACATATGCTGAAAGGTAGTGCGTGAAATGTTGATGGGGTGCATATATTAGAAAAAGGAGACCTTTAGAAGCTCCTGGGAATAATCTGCCCTGCTCCTGGGAATAATATGCCATGTATACTGTACGTAGATCGCATGTTACGCACTCGTGAGCTTAGCAAAGTGCTCCAGGATTCAAATTATAACAATGGTTGATTTCTAAAGGTCTCCTTTTCTAACTGATATATGCACTCCATCAATATTTCACGCACCACGGTTCAGCATATGTGCAATTGAAAGGCATTCAATTTTAACAATATGCTTGATTTCTGAAGGCCTCCTTTTTTTATACACCCTGTAAAATATGCACTGGCAGTAATGGTCTAATGCGATTTTTCTATCGCAGTTTGTTTAGAGTAAATTAGGAAAATTGAAACTCACTGTTATGATGTGAAAATGATCATCTACCTAGGTGTTTCATTAAGAACCCTAGCTGGTGAAACGTGCAAGTACAGTAACTGAAATACTTCAAGTTTTAAACGTGGTTGTATAATATTATTTTGTTGTATTGTACTTGATTGTATTATATTGCTGTTAACAATGTGAATTGATGCAGGGGACGAAAAACAATAAATTACATCTGCTGTACGTTATCCATGCTTTAAAAATATTACTGCTTGAAAATAATTTGATGACATGTTTACTAGAATTAACAAGCGAAGCTGCCTTGTAGTTGTATACTTGTAGCTGTATATAGTTGTAGAGTATGCCATGCAGTTACAGTTGAACAACTGAATAGTTGAATAACATTTCTGCTGTATCTTGAAAACAATGAATGCATGAAGAAAGATCTTGTACAATTATCATTTATAGACCCGGAGCGAGGGGATTCGGCGTAATATTTCCCGAAGAAATGATATTTCATCAATGAGGGGAATGTCGCCGAATTCCCCGAGCGGAGGGTCTATAAATGATATATTATACCGAAAGTTAAAGAACTCACTAAGAGTCTAAGTTCAGAATAAACTTTAAAACTTGCTGAATATTAACTACGCGAATACAATTTTTAATTTCTTATGTATACCTGAGTTTTTGACGTTTCCTCTTTAAAATATTTGAGTATGTATCCTTTGGATCATTAAAGGTAACATACATCTTGAAAATCTTTGGTTAAATCAAATCTTCTGTACGAAATTACAAACAACAGCTCGCGAACGCCATATTGTTTCAGAGCGTGGTGTCCACGCGTGAGCGTGGGATACTATAATATCCCACGGTGGATCTGCCGTGTGATATTATAGTATCTCGCGCTGCATTGCGAAATCATGAATTTGAGTGAAACACCGTAAAAAATCACATCACGTGGTACAGATTCTGTTTTTTCATTGGACAATTTGAATTTGAGGTATAATATTAAAAGGTATTGACCGTGCTAACAACGTAGCAGTGAATTCAGAATATGTGGCCATTCAGAATGTGTAGTATTCAGAATTATAGCATGACAAAATTACTGGATGCTGATTGGTTGAAAGGAGTACAATTATTTCATTAATTGTACTGCAGTAAAATTAATTAACGATTTTCCGAAAACAAACAAAATGTACTCGCCCCGGCGGCTCGTCCAATTTTGGGTTATCATTCCATGTTTCGCGCACCAATATAGGTTAGGGGTTAGGTATTAGGGTTAGGTTAGGGTTAGGGGTTAGAGTTGGGGTTAGGGTGTGTTATATGTGTATGGAGGTATCTAGTGAACTTTTCAGTACACTATAATATCCATTACATAACGTTTACTATATTGGTGCGCGAAACATGGAACGATTATCCAATTTTGGCAAAATTTCCAAACATTCCTGACTCGTACTATTAATCCCTAATTGTACTCGCCATCGCATGATTACCTATACTAATACAGAAGGTTTTTTAAAGAAAAGGGGGTTAGCTATTAAGTTAGCTGTTAAGTGTTCACTGTTAGATTCTAGCCAATCAGCGACTGGTACGCCGTGGTACGAAATACGTAATAGGGAATATATTTTGATATGTCATTTATATCGACAAACTGTAAAAACGTGCAGGAAATACAAAGGTTTTTATACACTTTGTGTTTTACTATTTTAGCAGAATGAACACTTCAAGGACTGGGGGGAATGGGTGCCTCAATATTTCTACCATTTCATTGATGGAGTTCTTACAGAGCGCCTAATTAACCGAGTATTTTTATTTAATTAACCAAGAATATAATTTCAGAGACAAAAGTTCTCTATCTTACTGCAATTAATTATTTTATGAAATAAAATTCGGGGGTCACCGATGTCGTTTTCGAGTTAAACTACTACGCAAAATATCCGCCATCTTGAAACGTCATTGTTGCCATATATAGCAACGGCAGTTGCGTAACTTTTGTGGAAAACAAAACCTATTACTGTATTAGATGTTGTTTTGCATCAGTGAGATCCTCTTTTTAAAACTTAAAAGTTCTGGAAAAGTAGGCTGGCCATGGCCACTAGCTAGCTCTAGTGCTATTTTTGGTACATGATAACAACTGCATGTGTACGGTTTTTGGAACAATATATTTCTTATTACTGACAAAACTGACAAATTTTTAACAAAATCATTGTCGCTATATAGTCTATACTGATGTCCTCTATCAATCCAGCTCATGCATTCCTGTTTCAAATGTTAATGAAATACAATTATATTCATATAGAATGAGCCAAATAACACATGCAGATATACCCCTGTAATAAGAGTCAGTCAAGGGAAAACTGTCATTCTTGTCGCGTTTCTTTCTGAAGTATGTCGAAACAAAGCGCTGCAAATTGTTCTTCAATTTTGCCTGGAACAAATTTACTGCACAATATCACCCATGACATCTTACCATTGACTGTCGTATTAAAATGAGTAGCGAAACTCGCAAATCCAAAAGGAACGGAATAATAAAGACATTCATGTAATTTGTACATGGAGGTACTATCGTCGTAGGTAAATGCCCCAGCACTTGAGATGTAATTGTGAACATTAAATAGTGACAATTTTTTCTTTGGATCCAAGGGAGACTGGAATTCGTCGGCAAGCTCTTTAGGTGTGAAAATATCAAATCCAGCCAAACATGCAGATACATTTTTCCCCTCTCTGATTATAATGTGAATTTGCTTCGTTGCTTCTTGAGCCATCGACCAAAAATCGTCCGTATTGCAAAACATAGGGAGCATTTCAGACAATAAGAAATTACCTAAGTATTCAGCCGGGGGTTTGGGCTCACAGAAGCGTAGACCACTGAGAGCAAACATATGCATCAACTTCTCCTGTTCCTTGGCAATTACTGAGTCTTGATTTCGAATTAGCTGGCAAAACGCTTTATGTGCTGCAGCCATAAGGGCCCCTGTCACAGTTACGCCCTTGGATCTACAAACTTTGCGAATTTGTGATGTGTGTGTCTCAGAAAACACTTTGTATACCAAGTCACATACTTCAAGTGAGGGTTGGGTCATAAAAAATGGGTAGGGTTTTTCGGATTTTGAGGCTAATAAGATGCATAACTTTAGTCTTTTCATGAATTTATAAATGAAATGCAAGCCTACATATGCCTGCAAATTCTTCCAGAAAGACCTTGGTCGAGTGTTACTGATTATCGCATAAAAACTTGGCAGCAGCTCATGACTCGGACCATCTTCGCCGCGAACTCGTGTGTTTTCGGCAACACTATTAAGGTAGCTCAAAAATTGTTTGCATAAATTCATCCCCGATACCCCGTCAATGATACAGTGATTTACGCGGAAAATTATAGTGTTCACGTAGTTCTCGCTATCTGGAAGATACTCTTCTGTGAACAAAACTGTTCGCCATAGTAAGCCAGTCTTTATCTGGCCCATAACGGTATCGTACCATGCTTTTTGCCACTGATATGCGTTGACATCAGACGTTGTTAGGTCAATCATGTCTCCAATTTTACTCGGTTCAATTATCTCGAAATAGCTTTCATTGTTTTGCCCAAACCACGAGGAATTTGACACAATTTTAATAACAGCCCGAAGCAATGGTTGCCGTTTCGCTAAACGTAGTAAAGCGTCACGAACAAGCGACTCTTTCAGTTCCTTTTTCGAGTGCAAGGTCATAACATAACAACTGTTTGTGGTGCCTTGTCGTTCATTACTAAATATCTCCATACTTTCTTCAAACTTGCCCAAACGCCGGCTTGAGGAAGATAGTCGAGACTCATGACTTGCATGCACCGCGGCTCTCCTAAATAAGCCTCGTGTCAGCATGTAAATAAATATAATCGCTAAAAGTGCGATGAAAATTTTAGCAAGAATCGACAAGGTATCCATGTGAAGTCTGTGAAGCGTATTTAATACATATAAAGCCGTTTTGCATATTTCATAATCAGTGTAATTAACACTTGCAAAAACGCAGTACGTTCGCGATGCATTTTGGTATCGCAAGATTATATGCCTGCGCGCCGGCGAGGCATTTGAGGCATCGATCGCCCGCGCATAGGAATTGCTCTGGGTACCAGAATACGAGATTGTAACTGGACGATTTTATTATTCGCTGGTGCCAGTAAAAGTATGTCCTGAACCGCTCACAGCTGTTGCCAGGGGAGAGCCGAATTAATTCCCTCGTCCAATGATCGACCAGATGCAAGAAAACATGAACTTTGACACTTGATATAATAACACATATACTTCAATGTTTCGACGATTTGGAGCGAAGTACCATCCTGCGTACTTTTCCGTACTACCAAGCTTTAGATTCTAACAGTTCTGTGTACTCGGCAGTTAGTATTTCTTATTACATACAGCTTTGGATGAACTTCGTCAGTATTTTTACCCTTATAAACTGCGAGTGCCATAGCTCGATGAAACTTTTGTTTTCTTTTACAATTGGTATGACTGGGACCGAGGGAAACAGAATGTTTTTTGTATGCATTCTAGTCGAGCTTTGGAATTTCCCATACATTCGACGTATTGATATACGGAGACATGTTTTAGATGCACTTGAAAACCAAATATATTATTTACTTTACTTGATCAAGCCTGAATCCCCGATGGTTAACAAATCAACCGCAATATTTGAATTTCGTCAGGCTGTCCAAACACTAGCACAGCAGGCTATCCAAACGCCGATGAGTTTAGTATATATGCAGGACAAGACAGTTTTAAAGAAATTACAACTACTGGGGCTCAATGAAGGCCTTTTCCTTTGTTCGTACATTTCTCTATTTTAGTTTCTTTCCTTCGTGTATCCAACTGGGATTAGATCATTTGCCGACCACCTGACGACTGGGAGTGTCCCTTCCCCCCCACCTCCCCCCGACACCCCACACCCATTTAGCGCCGCTCCTGTCTGTGCTGACGTTTAGAAGATGGAATGTCGAGAATATGAGAGGATAAAACCAGAAAGCAGGCAGATGCAGCTTTTTCAACAATGTTGACTTTTTACTAATGATCAAAAGGGCTCATCTGAAAATTGTGCTTCACTGCTGGGGCAAGCAAAGGGCCTGGGTAACTAAAAAAATGCCCTGTATATATGAACAACTGTCTCTCCCTCGCAGCATGTTTTTCTCCAATAGAAATGTCTAGTTCACATATTGAGAATTTGCCTTATTGGAAAATTTTATCAAATCGATATCAGTTCATATTAGTTGTTTTTACAAGCGAGGCAAGTAACCTTTACTAAATATATTACCGGGTGATCGATCACCCTTCCTTTATAATTCCTTTCTTACTAAAATTCGCCCGCTGTTGTTTAAGACCTCTTGTCCAAGACCTGTTGTCCAAGATCGATCTATGGCCATCACCTTTCTAATTAATGCCCTAAAATTGTAATGACTCCCCTCGCAGAGCGAATCCTAAAAATATTAAACTCCCCCTTTTACAACAATAGACCTCCCCCCCTCCCCTCCCCAAACCCAACCATGAATAATGAACATTTGCTAAGTATTTCACTTCAACCGTTAAATTGTTATTCTGTGCTTCAACCTTCTACTACAAACTATTAACTATGCTTCAACAATCATGATTCATATATATACTGTCCAGACATCTAGTTACAATATATCAAATCAGTGACAGTGCGATAATATTTACGATACTTGCTATACTTAGCATGTAATGAGATATCAAATATCAGTCATTCAAAAATTGTTTTGCTAGATGTCGAAGGTCAACAGATTATAAACCAAAGAATTTAGTTGTGTCGTCTCATGTTTGGTGATGAGTTAAAAAACAAATACTGGCTGTCTACAACGAAATATGGAGCAGCGAGTATTCCGCCTTGTTCTGGTAATCTTTATATCACTTCGACTGAGTTATGTTGTGGCTATCAATATACATCATAATATAAGGATAACTAGCGACGGATTCGATTCGCCTCAATGCGTGGACGTCAACAACACATTTGCAGCTTGTAAAACGCTGGATTATGTTCTCAGCCATATCGAAAGTAACGCAAGTTTGGAGAATTCGACTAAAATCATCATCGAAAGCGGAGTGTACGCTTTAAATAGAAGCTACAGCTTTGAAAATATAAATAATTTTCAGATTATTGGTGTTGCTGGTGCTCAAGTGTCTAGTTCATTGAAATATATTATTAGTGGAGCTGATGTTGTAATACAATGCAATATGGGTGCTGGTCTCGCTTTTCTGCGTTCTGAAAATCTGACATTTTCCTATTTAACCTTCCAAAACTGTGGTTCATGGCAAAACAATACAAGCATCAATAATCCCAAGTTTTTGGCTGCAATATTTATCGTGTATAGCAAGAATTTGGAAGTCATCGGGTGTCGCGTTTCAAGATCCCCTGGTGTGGGTGTTAATCTATACGATGTAAATGGCGATATCTTGATCGAGAATAGTACGTTTGCAGAAAACTACGCGTTCGATTCCTGGAATTTTACATATCGTGATGGAAAGGTCCGTGCAGGCGGTGGACTTCATATAGAGTTCACATATTGTGGAGCTGTCTATCCATTCGAGTGTAATGATATAGAAACAGACAAATATAATCATGGAAGTCGCTACACCATCAGAAATTGCAAATTTATTGACAATACCGGGACAACGGGTCATGTATTTAAGCAAACGTTTAACTTGAATCCGTGTGAGAAAGATTTCAATTCTATTGGTCGTGGTGGCGGAATTTCATATATTATCAAAGGCAATGCAACCGGAAATCAATTTCTTGTTGATAATTGTACGTTTCTACGGAATACAGCAGACTGGGGTGGTGGATACGCAGTATATTTCCAAGATAATGCAACCAATAATTCCTTACGAGTTATTAATTCGCGATTTCTACAAAATCTAGCTCGGTACGGTGGAGGCGCGGTGAAATGCGCTACTACAATATACGGAACGTTTCGGAGTCTAACAGCCCGTGAACCGAATTATTATTTGCACGAAAATTGTATTTTTGAACGAAATTTGGCGACGGAAGGTTGGGGAGGTGCATTTTCTGTTTTCGGTTCGACGAGTTATCTTGGTACACAGGGCTGGCAAGCTAATAAAACACCGGCATTTGTGAACTGCCATTGGAGGGAAAATTCCGCAACCGCTGGGGCCGCCATTGGTGCTCTGACTAAACTACCTGAATTATGGAGAAGACAATCAGTAGGACTTGAAGAACGGGGTTTTGGATTCGCACTTAAACTTGTTAATAATACCTTTACCAAAAATGTTATCATTCCCACAATTCATAATGTGACTGTTTTTGGTATGGGGACTATCTACACAGTTTTTGTCCCTATTATTATGACGGGGGATGTTAAATTTATTGGAAACTCCAACACTGCTTTGTTGCTAGATTCTGCGTGTGCTGAAATCGATGGGAACGTTTTGTTTCACAAAAATAATGGCGTCTATGGGGGAGCAGTTGGGATGTATGGATCATCGGCGTTTGTATTCAAGCCTGGATCCAAGTTAATGTTTAAGGAAAATTCTGCTTCCGGTATTGCAGGAGCTATTTACGTGAAAACGGCAGGTCCTAATATAGCTGCGTTTTATCAAACAATATTCCAAAGGCATCGCTGTTTCTTTAGATACATTGATAGCTCCGTTGGTCCTAACGACTGGAATGTTAGTGTTGTTTTTCAAGGGAACAATGCCTCGCTCCATATTGGCAGAACATTGTTTGCCAACACTTTACAATTCTGCAGATTCGGTCGTTCTGGCTTGATAAATGATGCAATCAAGAGTTGGAAAAGTTTTAAATTCGAGAACCACGATGGACTGCCGTCGAACGACGACCTGGAAGTTGCAACCGAACCGGTTCAGATCTTAATTAACCCCAACGAATGGAATAACATATCACCAAATGAACAATTTTCACCTTCAATTCAACTTTTGGACGAAAGAAACCACAGTGTGTATGGATTGATCAAAGTCTCTATTAAAGAACAAAGTAGCAGTAAATCAGTTAACATTGAAGACGGAGTATCTCCATACTTTTATGTTAAAGATCAGATCAATTCGCTTTGGCTGAGTGGTAAACCTTCGAGCCATTTCAATGCAAGTATTACCTCTCTTCATTCCCAATCTATGAAAATGACACTGCCCGACCTGACAGTGAAGGAATGTCCTCCAGGTTATATTCATAGAGATAATACGTGTGTATGCTTGATTGTTCAGGACAGGATTATTGGTATATCAAGATGTGGAGACGACGGAAAAAGTTTGTATCTTCGCAAAGGATATTGGGGCGGTCCTCGACATAGTAATGCTATTAAAGGTAAAAGTTGTTTGTTTTCTGTCGTGGAATGTCCCTACGGTTACTGCCAATGTGGGAGCAACAGTATGAACGGTTTGACTAATCAATGTGAATGCTACTTTAACGCAACTGTTAACCAATGTGTGGAAGGCCGTGAAGGAATCTTATGCGGGGAATGCAAGGATGGTTTGAGCGTTGTTATTGGTAGCTTCAAATGTCTTCGTTGCCAGAAGAATGATACATTAATGTTGATTCCGTTCTTCGTAATCTTAACATTCCTGGTATTTCTTTTCTTGTATTTTAAACTTGATTTCTTTTCTGGCTATCTCAATTGTTGGTTATACACTTACCAAATAATATTCCTTCTTCTACCGGATCATTTACTCGCCGGGGATCCTTTCATGAATTTTATTGTGAAATTGGCAAACATGAAGTTTGTATTCGGTAGCTGGTGTCTCTGGGACGGCATGGATGATCTTCAGAAAACCTCGTTTGGCTATGTGGCGCCGGTCTACCAGATTTTTGTGCTTTTCGTGTTTATAAAACTTTCGTCCAAATTCTCCATTTTGCAAGGTAATTTCTTCCGTCCTTTTTGTACGATTCTGGTTTTGTCGTATTCCGCTATCGTGAATGTCACTTTCAAACAACTGCAACCAGTTCATATCTGTTCTGAATGGCGTGTATATATGTCTGCTAGACTGAAATTCTTCAGAGACGAACACATCATTTATGCTTCTTTAGCAATAGTTGTCTTGTTATTTGTTATTCTGCCTTTCCCCGTCATGTTAGCTTACAGTTCGCTCTTTACTGGTCGTTCTCGTCGTCTTTCCCAAATAAGTATGCCTTTGCTGGACGTTTTAAAGTCTTGTTATCGTTCTAAACGTCGTTGGTTCGCAGCTTATTACATTGTTTGTCGCCTGATCGCAGTCTTACTCCACACTTATATATTAGATATCAATGCTCGCCACAAAGTACTTCAAATATTCTGTGTGGTAGTTCTGTTACTCTTCCTTTATCTGAAGCCGTACCAAAACGATATCTTAACAAAAATCGACACATTCTTTTTGTCTTTCTTGGTCTTAATGAGCCTGCTGGCCGAAGTCGTTATAACATGTTCGTTCTTTGTGTCACAGTTCTTTGACGTATGTTTTTATTGCATCCATATTTTGCTGTATGTTCCCTTTCTTTACTCACTCATTATGTTGTATTATCATGGACGACATTTGGTAAGACAACGCAAACAGAAACGAGGAAACGATACCGTTAACTGTCAACCTGTTGTCGAGGAGAGCACTGTAGCAGAAAGAACACGGTATGAACCTCTGTGAATTTCAAAAATGTAACAGATCATCGCTTAAATTAGGGAAATAGCAATAAGCCAGATGGCGAATGCCGCCACGGCGCCAGGATATATCTTTGATCTGACCAGTGAAACAGTATAAAAACTGCAACGATAACTCCGGCTTTGTTTTTGAAGTCAAGATGGCGGAAATTGAAGCCCATCTTGTAGTTATGCCCTTGGCCCCTACACGGAAATTCACAAAATTCAGTACGAAAAATCTGCATTATTTCATGTAGAAATTTCGCGATTTTTCAGGCGACTAATTTTTTAGTCAGGCTTTACTATTGAAAAAATCAATCGTAAAATCTTAGTCATTTTTCAGCTCGCGCGAAGTCCACGCGTGATTTATACCTACAAGAGATCACTCTTTATCCTATCATCTCGCTTCATCCTATTATAGGTCCTTTTATCTGGAGTTATCGTTCCGGTATTTATAGAGTTCACTAGATCTGATACGTGCCCTGCAGTCCTTTATAGCTATGACGACTGGTTAACGAGAGTCTTTGACTATGTGCACACGGTAACGTTTTCAAGCGTTTTTAGCTGTAACGTTTTGAAAAAGTGTCTTTTTAATTCAAGCCGTGTCTACACGAAGAGAGGTGAAAACGACGTCTTATGACGAAAACGTTTTCATTGCTAAAAAACGTTTTCGGTAAGCGTTTTCGCGTTGAAACGCTAAAAATCCAAGATGGCGGCTTAAAATCAAAATATTATATTCTTGTTTCCTGGAAGCTTACGGTTAGGCTATTGGTATCATTAATTCTTAAGTTAAAAACTTTAGCTACAAATAAAACAAAATATATTTTCTTTCAAGATTTATGAACGATTTAAAATGTGATTTTGCTTTCAAAGGAGCGACAGACTTCGTACCGGTGATGCTGAACATATACATATAAAACTGTTTACTTTATTATAATGAACAGAGGACATTTTAAGAAACTCGTTGACAAGTAATGACTCCATCTGGTGGAAAATAAACGGCGATAAGAAGCCGCGAGAGATGCAATTTTTGTCGAGACAAACACTTCCATGCTGTGAAAACGTTTCTGTGTGGACAGAGCGTCAAACTGAAAAAAATGGAAACGACTTTTTAGAAACGCTCGGAAACGTTACTGTGTGCACATAGTCTTTGTTCACAAATAGTCTAAAAAATTGTAAACGTTACGGAGTTTGTAACAATTTTCATTTTGATTTTTTATTCCAAATCAAGCAGTATTATTTATACGTAGATTACGGTTGTCATTTCCCTAATAACGTGCATGTTAAAACTTATTACAAAACTGGACTTTTTGTAAAGTAAAACTGGACGAAAGAATCACGATCTAGTGTTGCTATACGGTGGACAATCTGGATGACACTGTTTATAGTAGATGGATATAATAATAGTTTAATTTTAAAATAGTTTAATTTTTAAAAAAATTCGAATAGACACTTCACAAAATTAATGATTTTAATAATTAATGAAATTATTTTGGAAAGGAAAGCTGTTAACATATACTAATATATATACATGAACATATAAAGATAATTGTTGACATTTATTGGTAATTGACACGTGACCATGACACATGATGACATTCTTGAAGAACGTTCGTTGTTCGTTGTACTATAGTAAAAGGCATACTTATAAATACGAAGCTTCTTTCTTTAAGGTGGCTCCCTATAGTTGTTTAAGCATGCATGGGACGTCGACTGGCAATTTGACCGCGCAAGGTCAAATATATCAACACTAACCTCTTTTCCTTCAGTCAATTTTTCTGAAATTTTGTATTTTAAAAGTACTAGTAATTTATTAAAATATACTCAATTTTCAAAAGATTCTATAAAGCAGTTTTTGGGGAACAAATTTCGCGTAATATCTCAAAAACTGAATTTATAATTACCCGCCTTAATTTTTTTATATAAAATTCCACTAGATAAATTAATTCCCTTTACACCTACAAAATTCCAGAAATTTTGACCGAAGGAAATTTCAATAAATTCATTTTAGTCCAAAATTTGATCTTTGCTGTCGCTTAGGCCAGATTGTTACCATAGCAACACACAATTTACTTCTTTCTTACTTTCTTTCCTACTAAACCGAGAACAAGTTTGTATCGTTAACAAGCATATTTTTTTAAGACTTGCCGAATGGCGAGAAAGTAAAAAGAAATTGGCTTGTATATATGGAGTTTACCTGCACAAGGACTATTTTGCTTTGCTTGCTGTCTATTTCATGATTTATCACAGCAGGAAAACTGAGGTCTCCCTCACAACTAACAAGAAGTGATGCAGAAGTTCCAGTCCATCTCACTGGAAAATTTTGCAAGGCATTGCTCATATTTCACTGCATAAATTCTCGGTTTAAGTGCTAGAATTTATGCTGCATGTAAAGCCACTAGCGAAGAAGCGCAGAGAAATCTTAGAAGTTTTAGACAGCCTGAAGAAACACGACTTGCCTCCTGATTTGTGTAATGATGTGGACACTCTCAGCAAATGGTTAAGCTCATTTGAATATGCTTCACTGGTTACTATAGTGGTTACTTTTTGGTTTAAAGTGTTGCAAGCAAATGGTTAAGCTCATTTGAATATACTTCATTGGTTACTATAGTGGTTAGATTTTGGTTTAATTAAAGTATTGCAAGCCATTACTGATGTTAGCCTGCCTGTTGGTTCAAGGTTCTGGAATTACGATTGACGAAGAATTGCATCTTATTAAATCCCTCCAAGATGATTTAAAGCCTGACTCGTCCCCAGTCGTCTCTAAAGGTCTTGGAAATTAAAACAAAGGCAAAGCAATCAAAGCTGAATTAATTTGAGAATTGAGATATCGCGATTCGTGAGACACACACGCAAATGCACACGTAACAATATCGTTGCTCCTTCATAAAAGTTTTCTTTTAAACGTTTCCTTTGGCATCTGATATTGGTCGCGATATAGACAGTTCAAAATCACTTCTAACGGATAATACATTGACCTAAAATGAGCAATTGCTTTGAATTACAAAAGAACAAACTCATCTGGAATGGCGACTTAAGCGAATTAAAGTCCTACGTCGCAGAAAAGTTAAACATAAATGGTAAATGGAAATCACCGTCAGGTGGACGCTGGTTATTTACTAGCGATGCTTTGTCTATAACCTGGTATTGTAAAAGCAAAACTGTCTTATTTCAAGGTCCTCGTGGCAGCGAAGTGGCTGACTCTTTGAAGAAAAATATCGATGCATCGCGAATTGCAATAGTGAAAGATGCCGAGCTAATCATTGCTACCCCTGCTGTTTCCGAAAGACGGAATGAATCTATCGATAATCAGTGTAGTCTCAGTATTAACAATTCTAACTCGAACATGTTTGACAGATCTAGTAATACAACAACAACTATCAACCGAAGCGACTCGGATGCTAGCGAAGGAAAAGCAAATGAGCAAGAAATGTGTTCACACAAGCAGAACGAAGGCGATTATATAATGAATTGCAAAGACTGTAGTAAATTATCTGTAGAAGTAGCAGAAATTAAATTGGACTTGGCATTATTATTCCTAAAAGTTAATACTGCTGAAGCTCCCGCTACATGTGAATGCAATCGGCTACGAAACGAAAATCAGCTATTGAAACAAGAAATTAAATTACTCAAGGAAACACTGCACGGCATGGAATTGTCAAAATCGCCAATTAACATTGCTATCGATAATATGAATAATCAACCAACCATCACTGACAATGACTCTGTTATACTAATTGATATAGAAGAATCTGAAGTTAACGTAAACACTAATATGAATAATTTACCATCTGCGACATACAAAGAGAAACAATATAATACCCGAGGGCCAGTTGTTAATGACTCTCTTATGAAATATAGAAATCCCAATAAACCAGTCGTGCAAGACTCCCTGACCTCATTCGACCATCTCCTAAAAGAAAAGGCCGCCTTAAACGCCAACATGCATCGTCATAAGAGGAATCAAGTGCATAATTCTCCAACTAACAGAACGCATTTCTCGAAACCTAATTACCGGCGCAATCAGGCCGCCTTAAACGCCAACATGGATCGTCATAGGAGGAATCCAATGCATAATTCCTCAACTAACAGAACGCATTTCTCGAAACCTAATTACCGGCGCAATCAGTTTTCCGAGCCTAAACATCAATATCGTCAAGCAAATTTTCCCTCAAAGATTTTTCGAAGCGGTCGCTATCGGTGGATTCCGAAACCAAGAACAACAGCAGACAATACAGATACAAGAGCAAGTCAAATCAACCCGGCATACAAAGTGAATCCTTTCCAATCAAAGTCAGAGTTACAGCTTGGAGAAACGGAGTCCTGGGAAGCTTACCTACAGCTGGTCAACCGCACCTTGGACCAGTTTGGAACCCTCGTTTAGGCGCAATCCAACGGACAAGTGATAATTATACATCTCAGAGACGTGTAAATTTTAATAATTTAATTAACATTAAGACTAATACAAACCCCACCATTGGAAAGTCCTCAGTCCCGTCCTTCCTCTTGTCAAATGTATGCCATATAACAAATAAGGTAGACGAATTAGCTGCTGTTGTATCGATCTATGACCCATCCGTGGTAATGATAACTGAATCTTGGCTAAGTGATGATATCGGTGATTCCTCGGTTAAGATCGGTAATAAATACAACATATTTCGTCGCGATTGAAAGTCTCCTGGCGGTGGAGTGATCGCCTACGTGAATAATTGTTTACCAGCAGAGCGTATGACTCACCTCGAAGAAGAAAACAAAGAAGTGATATGGTTGTTGTTAAACCCCCCAAGAACCCCTAGACCTTACAGTACAATCGTTGCTGCTGTTGT